TCTTATATCATCCATCTAATATAAATCATGATATATTATTCCCTTCATTTAAAAGAAAAATTATAAGAAAGAGAATATTTTTTATACATTCATATGGAGAAGATAATTTAGGAGCATCCTCCCCCATTATGCACATGAATACCTCCAAAATACAGACAACAATGTCACTCCATTCAGCTAAGATATTTATGCACCTAATGGATCTTCAACAAATTTTAACCTTTTGCATACCCAGAAAAAATTCTTAATGTTTTCTTTTTAATCTTTTTAAAGTTATATTTTACACACTTCTTTTCAATTCACCATTTTATTTATCTACATATTTTTTTAATTACTCTCATTCTATCGTTATCTTTATTCTTGAATTAAACTTCAAACATTTTTTTTTTTAAGATGGTACTACTTAGTTTTTCACAAAATGATTAGATAATAATCAAAACATTTATTTACGTGATATCCCAATTTTTATGCATTTAGCGTCGCAGCACGCTAACAGAATCCCAATCTTCTTGCGTTTGACGCAAGTGGAGAGAAAGAGAAAATAATACGCAATATATTTTTTCTTCCTCCATTCATTTCTTTATTCGCCAACAGTAACAATATTCATCAATCTCACCTTCCTTTCCACCAACCGCTTCGTGTCGGTAAGAGCAACAAGCCACCGGCAAAAAACGGTTGCCCCAAACCAGCTCCTAGAATTAGAATCCGGTGTACCGATTTTTGAGGTATCTTACGGCGACAAGCAACTAAACTCAACTTCCTTGACTGCAAGATTTGATTGGGCCACGTGTCCACACATGTTTCTGAATTGGTGTTGACAAGAACAACATTAATGTTATTATCTAATACTACTGTGTGTCATAAGTTTTGTTTTTAGTTTCTTTACCTGGATTCTTTTCAAGTTTTCATACACAGAGAGGATTCTTCCTATTAAATTCATTGGTATTAAGCTTTAAATTTATAATGTAACCTTATATAAAATTAATAATAATACCAATTAAAAAATTGATCAGAAATGGTTTATATGAAGTCAAATATTAAAACATTTATCAAATAAATATTTACTTTTAAATATTTATTTACTTTACTTTTAAATGATTTCATATGTTGATATTGATTGAATATTCTCAAATTGTATAAATTCATTCAAATATTATATATTAAAATCAATATGAGTAATTATTTATTTTACAATTTTAACTTTATATTTTTGAAATATATTTTGTTTGGTTACAAAATAAGTTAGGTCAATTCAACCATTTTAAACAAAGTAAATATTTCAAAAAGGATTTGGTTTTGAACTTAAAAAAAAAAAACATTTGAATCAAACATACAGTTTAAATATAGTTGAATTTGGTTCAATTTTTATTTTAAAATTGTAATCAAATCAAATTAATATTTTATAATTTTATATTTTTTACATTTTTTATTATAAATTGATTAAATATATTATAATAAAATAATAATAATTTAATAAATAAATATATTGTAAAAATATTATGTATAATTAATTATAATATTTATAGTTTTAATTTATTTTTATATGTTTTTATGTTTAATTTAAAAATAATATATATATATATATATATATACTAAATTATAAAAAATTAATTGGTTCATACAAAAATCTTATCTTATTTTAATTTTAATAATATATATTATAATTTTGATTTGGTTATTAAGTTTTGACTATCAAATCAAATATATCAGTATTAATATAATGTGGTAAAAAAATAACATGATTTTGTTTTTGAAACAATAAATAATTTTGAGCCAAATTTTCTTTGTTATATGTAACCCTTCTTATTAATTTGGTGAGATAGAATTTAGTTAGATGGATACATTTATTTGAATTTGGTGAGATAAAATTAAGAACGGTTTTTTTTGGTTTGTAATCGTTTTAATTTTATAATTTATTTATTGTGTTGTGTTTGGAGTTGCTTGAGTATCTGTCCTGTCAGGTGATCACTTGTGAATAAAGATCCATTCATTCCCACGAAGGAGTACGAGACATTATTAAAACCCCCATCACGCAATCCACACGCGCGTGAACACCGAGTCACCGTCTCAACTGTTTCAGGTTTTTATCCTATTTGGTCCTGCTGTTTCCCAGTTCAAATCGCTTTTTCATTCAACTCATGCCCTCGCTCTTTCTCTCTCTCATCTTCTATTCAGTTTTTCTTTTTCTCTCATAAAAAAATGAATTATGTAATTGATTTTTATATATAATTATTTTATTTTATCTTTTATATTATAGTTTTTTATTGTTCTTATTTTAAATTATAATTATAATTTCAATATTTTAGTTTTCAAACATACTTTAATAAATAATATTAATTTCTAAATAATATGAAATTATAGATATATTGATTTTTTTAATTTTGATAATTAATTTTTAATATTTATAAAAAATTGGAGTCTCACATGTTTTTTCAAAGCAAGTAGATTTTTATACTATATATATTAACTACAATTTAATTAATTTTTAAAGTGTAAAACATTATTTATTTTGTGTCTTAATAATTGTTTATATAAAGATTAAATTAATAAGATGTTATATAGAGACTAAATTATCCAAATAAGAATAAATTAAATATATATTGTACTTTGTGGATTAAAAAGTATTTTAATACATTTATATGCAACGACACTAGATTACAATTATTTGCATAAACATATATTATTTCTAGCAAAAGTTTTTCAAACAGTTATTGTTTTGTTAGTTGCATGTGAAAAGTGAAAACGGCGTTAACTTCTCAACGTTTTATATTTTAAAAGTTTATAGAAGTTTGTGCTAATTTAATAGAATTGCTTTTGTCCGAAAACACGTTGGTCACATTGCATGGGTTAAAATTTCAAAAACAAAAATTCAACGTATTAATAATTTATATTTTCATATAATAATTTATTTTATTATTAATTTTATTTTTTATCACTATAAAATACATGTGATGTGTTAAAAAATATATTTTTACTACCTATTTATTAGCAATATCGGTATGAATATTATAATATTAATATTTATGATATTTTCAACTTTTTAATAAAGTTTATTTAAATCTTTTACGTAATCAAGTGCTTAAAATAAAATCATTACAAAAATAATAATTTAAAAAATAAAATCATTCATAAAGTTTTACAAACATATATTTAACCAATAAAAAATAATTAATGGGAGAAATATATTTTATGATGACATTTTTTTATATATAAAATATATTTTTATGTGAGTATATTTTCACGTTTATTAATATATTTGTATATTATATATAATTAATATAAATATAATGAAAGATTAAATATTAATAATATATCAATTTAAATTAAAACAGCCATTTAATATTTTTTATTTAAATAAAAAATATCTTAATACTTAATTTAAATAAAAAAATCTTAATTCTTAATTTAAATAAAAAATGATAAAATAATATATTACTTAAAAGGAAATAATGAATACTTACTTATGTTTACAGTAATTTGTTGTTATCGTTTAAGAAATTATAATTTAAATTTAAAACTAATACATATTTTCCTAAAATATTCAGTGAGATCATAAGAAATTTATTTATATTACAAAAATAATTTACAACCGTTGTACACTTTTTTTAAATTGTTTGACATTTTAACTTTGCAATTTATCAAAATAACTTTGTATAACGAAATGTATAATACAAATTCAACATAATAAAGTTAAAAAAAATTGTTTAATTAATCTATTTACTAAATACACCGTCATGAATAATTTATTTGGTTACATATGCAAATGATGTACTGTGAAATATATGAAAAAAATACTTTAATTAAATTTGCATTAGAAAGGCAATTTAGTTGAGTTTGGGATGAGAAAATGACAAAACATAAAAAAAGTAAATAGGATTCATACAGTGTGTAACTTTAGTGCATATTTCGAATTAGGTGGAGGCTGAAAAGTTGATTTAACATATGTAAACTTACTTTTAGTTAAAAATTGATTTGTGTAAAAAGTTACAATAAATAAATAGTTTAGAAATTAATAATACGAATAAGATTTTTTATATAATAACAGAAACATATTAAATTATTAATTGAAAAGGAAAAATGATTGGGTTTGGTGGTAAAGAAATAAAAAGAAGGGTATTTATTTATGAATATTTAAAAATGGAAGCATTTAAAGTTGATTACTTTGGGGAATAGGTTAGAGAAAAAAAATCAAAATCCAAGAGATAAATCAAGATAAGATTTAGTGAGATATATTCCTTTATTTGCAATAGTAACAAATCATAAATTATTACACCATTAAAGTTAATAACTTTTGTGACAATAAGAATTTAAAAATGAACATCTAAAGCAATATGGAATATCCTGTTTTTTAATTGAAAAAATGTAGAAATCGATGAGCACCAACTATCATGAATATAAAAAGAAACCTGAGTGATTGATTAACGCAATCTCCATCTTAACAACTAACGCTTTATCAAATTCTCATTTTACATTCATTTTCAGAAGTTTCACAACAACAACGCAACCCTGCCAAATCCTCACTTTTATTTATCTCTCTTCCCACGCGCTTATAGGTTGCGTGCCAATTCAAGTTCGTTATTAAATTATATCAACACAGGTGTGCGTTTCTATTCTCATCAAAATAAAACGCTCTAATCACCGTCCATTCCCGCTGAATCTCGGAATCTTAAACTCATCAACGGCCAGATATCGATGCGTACAAACTCTGATGCGAAACATTCCACACTCGCATTTTAAACCCAAAAAAACGGAACATTATTATATTATATTATAATAATATAAATTATAAATATTAATTAAAAAAAAAAAAACCCTTTGCCATTCCCGTTATATTCATGAGAATCATTTATACCCCATAAGAAGCACCAAACCACACAACATAACCCAAACACTCTCTCTCTCTCTCTCTCTTTCTTTTTCTCCGATGCGTTTCTACAAAAACACAACCTTTTAACTGTTTTTTTCTTTCCTTTTCCTTATTTTCTTCGCCGAATCGTAGAATGTCTTCTCCGGGGTTCACTGGCGGAGCTGGGGCGTCGGGGTATTTCGCCGGGGCGGGTGGTTTCAGCGGGAGATCCATTCCGGCGGCCACCATGAACAACCCCAACGCCGCTGCGTCTGCCACCACCAACCTCCACCCTCTCTACCGTGCCCAACAACAGAACCTCCCCGCAATGTTTCTAGATCCTTCCTCGCAGATCGCTCAACGCCAAACACCAACCCTCATCGGTAAACGCACCCTCACAGAATTCCAAACCTATAACCAGACATATAACCAAACCAACAACAACCCTAACCACGTCCTCTCTAACCTTTTGCTTCGTTCCGTGAAGCCCCGAACCAATTTTCCTCAGAGTTCCATGGATAATTTTCCCGAATTGCAGAACCAAAACCCTTCCGTTTACCAACCGCAGCGTTTTGGTGTTCCTTTACTTCACCAGCTCCGTCCCCAGCCCATTAACCTTCCCAGCAACGGGCCTGGACCCATGACGGGCCCTAATTTCGGGTACCGGAACTCCAATTTGGGCTTGCCACAGAACCGGGTTCGGCTATCTGTTCCCCTCCCGGTTCCGGTTCAGGTGGCTGAACCAGAGAAGAAGAACATCGATCACCGGCTTCTGGAATTGGAGAAGCAGCTTCTTGAAGACAACGACGAAGAAGGAGAAGCCGATGCTGCATCTGTGATAACCACCAGCGAGTGGTCAGAGACTTATCAGAATTTAATCAGTCCCGGTCCGGTTCAGAAACCGGTTTCCACGTCGCCGACTTCGTCGACCGCGTCTTCTACATCGTCTTCTTCCTCCGTCGCATCACCTGCTTCTGGATGCTCGAAGCAAACGCTCATGGAAGCCGCATCTGCAATTGTCGAAGGAAAACATGACGTCGCGACGGAGATCCTGAACCGGTTGAACGGCCCCAACCGAACTGATAGGTTAACCGACTGCATGGTTTCGGCGTTGAAGTCGAGGTTGAATCCGGTGGAATATCCACCTCCTGTGGCGGAGCTTTTCAGCCAGGAACATGCAGAATCGACTCAGTTGCTTTTGGAAAACTCCGTGTGTTTCAAGGTAGGGTTCATGGCTGCCAATCTTGCAATTTTGGAAGCAGCATTTGAAGAGAAGACGGAGAACAGGTTCTGCGTGGTGGATTTTGAGATTGGACAGGGAAAGCAGTATCCGCATCTCCTCAACGCGCTTTCAGCGCGTGGTCAGAACGCGACGCTGAAGATCGTGGCGGTGTTCGAAACCGGCGGAGAGGACAAAGTGCGTGCAGTGGGAGACATGCTGAGTCGAATCGCGGAGAGGATGAGGATAGGGTTCGAGTTCAAACTGGTGGCAACTAAGAAACTCACCGAGTTGACTCGCGAGTCCCTGGGATGCGACGCGGACGAGGTTCTCGCGGTGAACTTTCCGTTCAAGCTGAGCAAGATTCCCGACGAGAGCGTTTCCACTGAGAACCCTCGCGATGATCTTCTCCGGCGCGTGAAGGGACTGGCGCCGCGCGTGGTGACCATCGTGGAGCAGGAGATGAACGCAAACACAGCGCCGTTTCTGGCTCGCGTAGCCGAAACACTGTCATATTACAGCACGATGTTGGAATCAATTGAGGCTACCACAAATAGGGATAACAATAACAGCAACAACACTGACCGATTCAGACTGGAAGAAGGACTGAGTAGGAAGTTACACAACTCAGTATCTTGTGAAGGCAGAGATCGTGTGGAGCGATGTGAAGTGTTTGGAAAATGGCGGGCGCGTATGACCATGGCAGGGTTCGAGCTAAAGCCACTGAGTCAAAACATGGCCGAGTCAATAAAATCGCGACTCACCTCTGTCAACAACCGAGTCAACTCAGGACTGATCGTGAAAGAAGAAAACGGTGGGATTTGCGCTGGTTGGATGGGAAGAACACTCACGGTCGCATCTGCTTGGCGTTAACTTGGCTCACTTTTTTTCTTTATTTTTATTTTTTTTATATTTGGATCTGAATATTATTATTATTATTATTATGATGATTATATTATATATGAGATATAAATATATAAATATCACATTGTTACCATATTTTAACACTATCTAGAGATAATGGAAAGGCAGAGAGAATAGATTTGGAAAATTATATGATAAAAGGGTGAAAAGAAAATCTGAAAGGAAAGTCTCTAGTCCCTACCCTTCTTCTCTTGGTTCTACCAAACTAAAACTAATAAACAAGTTATTGGATTCCAAGAAAACTTACATTTATTGATTCTTCTATGCACTATACTTGATATGCTTTTTATTTGTTAATCATCTTCTTCACTTTGCACTTTGCACTTTGCACTTTGCACTTGGGTGTGTGAAAGGAGTTGGTTGCTGTTTGGTAGATAGCTGACTTGTGTGTGTGTGATACAATGGATTGCTTTGCCCTCGCATTACCGACAAACCACGGCTCCACTCATAGGCTCCACTTTTGGGGGTTTAGTTCCACTTTCAACTTCCTCTATTATCCATTTTTCTTCTAAATTTGTAACCTTTTTTCTAAAATACTATCAATATCAATAATGTTGCATTGCACCAAGTTTTCTTCTTCTGTTCTTTGTTTTTGAGTTCACGCCACAACAGGTGTGTGAATCCCAAGTTGGAAAAAGAAAAAACCTAAATCGACTCGTAACGCCAAACATTTTAGACTACGTATTCAACATCGTGTTTCTACCGGAAAAAAGGCTTCCAGACTATGATGGATACCGGAAAATGTAAATCAGGCATGTCGTAGTTTTGGTTCATTTATTCAACTCAAAAAAATACTGCACTTGCATTGCTTATTTATGCCACCCCAAATATACTATTAGTATGGAGGAATGGTTAAATGTAATAAGATAAAGTTTTGTAGATGATAGAATACTATTATTTTATTCAACTTTTCAATATAATAATATATAAATCTTTTTACAATAAAGTTATGAGAACATGCATTCTAAATACACTAGGAAATATTTGTTATATTATATTGAAAGAAGGTGCAGCAGTATCGTAAGTCCTTTTACACTAAATTTATCAGAACATGCATTCTAATATGATATTAATACACAATAAAAATGATGAAACATGTATTTGAATTTGGTACAGTTTTTCCCAACTTATACTAGCTAGGAGGTCTTTCTTCTGTCCTTAAAATTTTGTACTAAAAAATGATATATCACTTTACAAAAACACTTGTGGGTTGTCCAGTATGTTATAAAAAGACATTGTTATATCTAGGAACAAAAATTTTATATATTGTTTTATCTATAATAACAGGTTATTTTTTTATTTGAAATTCTAATTCAATCACCATTTTATTTATAAAATATATCTTTATGTATTTAGGAAATAAAATATTTATAAATTTTTTATAATATCGATTCTTAACGTAAGACTAAAAAGTATAAATTAATTAAAAATCTAGTTTCGACGATAATGATTTGTTTAAAAACATATGTATCATGATTTTATGTTTATTATTAAGGTATATTATCACGTCTAAGATATTTTTTATTTTAAAACTCTTTTCATTCCAATATAGTCTTTAGAAGACATCTCAGATAATGTTTATAAATTATCCTTAATCAAATAATATGAAATTTATAACTAAAAACTAAATATATACATATATTAAGAATTTAAACAAAGTTTAGTCTAATGGTTGATCTCGAAGGTTAGAAAAATAGGTTAGACTAAACCAATAAATTTGTGATTTAAATTAAATTAAACTTATTTTGATTCGACCTGTTTAGGTCATAATTTACATGAGTTTAGGTTAAGTTAGCTTGTTAAGTTATTTTATAGAAAAATAATTATTTTTTGAAATAAAAATAATAATGATATTATTTTATTTAAAAAATATAAATATATTATAAGTTAATTTGAGAAGGGATTCACTTATTTTAAAAATAAATATTATAATAAATTTTAATCATCACTTATTTTAAGATATAATGGTGAAAATTAATTATTATTTTATATAAATTACTAAAAAATTAATGATAATAAAAGTAAGTTTTTAATTATTGATATTGAAATATTCTCTTATAATTTCTATATTAAATTATTAAATAAAATTAATTTTATTAATATAATTTAAATTTGAAAAATATATTTTTATTTTTAGTTAAATATTTTAAAGTTTTCAATGAAGTCAAAATTATTTTGTTAGTCTTGACGTAAATAAAATTAGATTAAACATTTTTTTTATTTAGTTGATATTGTGAAAGAAAATTGAACTGATTGGTGGTTTAGAGATACCTATACTGACTTTTGTATTTGGTTAAATGCAAAAGGCGAGTTGCTATTTATAGAAATGGTTTATTGCAATTGGTGGTGAAACTGAACAATGCCTCAGCTACTTGGTGTTAGTGTTCTTCACGAGTAATGTTGGTTCTACCTTTTGTCGTCTTTGGCTTCCTCAATTCAATTCCTCGCCTTATATTCACACAATTTGTCTGTATTATAATAATGTGTAAGCAAAACAATTAATTAGTATTTCTCACCTTAAAACTAATCCAAACACATGCCAAAATGATAAAGATAAGAATTGTTGTTGTATGAGTGCTTAATCACAGGAAAAAAGAGGGGCGAAATTGAAAGACAAAAACTGTGGAGAATCAAAACAAAGGTATTACTCTGTACAAGATAAGACAGAAGAATATCACCAGCATGTGTTATCTGATTCTGTAATAGTGCAAACTTCAATTTTCTTTCCATTGATTTCGCTACGTGAATCACCACAACGTTTTACAAATTTAGACACACTTTTTTTTTTTGAAACATGCATTTTTTTTATATGTAGCTGTTAAGAAGGATTTTCCTAGCAGCTTGAAATTTGGAGACACTAGAAATAATTTGAATATTCTTTTTCCTAATTTAATAAATATATATAATAATTTTATTCAAATATTAATATTACAAATGTAAATGCTTAATTTAATATTATATCTTACAACTAATCTACGTACTAGTAAAATATTCAATTCATTAATATCTCTTTTTTATTAGATATAATAAAGCTGTAACTAAAGTGAGCGCTGACTTGACGTAAAACCTATTTTTAAAATATTTGAACCTACAGACAATAATTTTTAGTAAATAAAAACTAAAGATATATAATGAAAAAATAATACCAAAATTCTTATATTCTTTTCATTTTATTACCTAAATTTAAGTCTAGTTCTATTTAAATAGTTTTAACTAGATTATTTTATTATAATTCTTGAAAATTAAATCACATTTCATATATTATATTATGTAATATTAAAAAAAAATAACACTATCTTTCAAATCTATATTAGAAAATAACACAACTGCATCAAACACAAGTTTTATATTCAAAGAAGAATACGGATTTCATTCTATTTACTAAAATTTAAAAAATTAATAACATAATAATTTTTTACCAATTTTAAATAATTTACTTAAAACAAAAATAACATATTATAACAATTATAATATATAAAGAATAATAAATTATCGAAAGATTTCATTCCATTTACTAAAATCTAAAAAATTAATAACACAATCATTTTTTACCAGTTATAAATAAGTTACTTAAGAAAAAAATAACATATTATAATAACTTTTTATAATAATTATAATATATTTATCACAATAAGTAATTTTATTACTATTTTTGATAACGATTTTTATTTACTTGTCATTGGATCTTGACAATTTTATAATTAAAATTTACTTTTTTAAATGACAATTTAAATTTAAATATATATAAAAATTATTTTATAATGATTTAATTTTGAACGAACATAATAAGTGACTTTGTTACTTTTAAATATAAGTTATGTCAGTTTAATTTTGAACCGATATAAAAAGTAATTTTGTCAATTTTAAATATGAGTCACTTTTTATAACATTTCAATATTGAACCGACATAAAACATACTTATTATGATGCTTCATAACTGAATTATTATAAAAAATATCTAGATTTATATTTTTTATATTCCTTTTATCCTTTTCATTTCTTATTTTTTCCTTCCATATAAGACATCACTCAACTTCTTCTTTCTTTTGTTTATTGTCTTCTCATCATATTCATCTACTTTTGTCTTTCTTACACACAATTTCATACAACCTTGTTTCTTCATCATTTACAATAAAGATAATATATGGAAACATTGTCTCATTTTTTGTATTAATTTGTATTTTTTTATTTGGTTTAATGGAGTGTTCTATATATGTTACATTACAATTGTTATTATGAATTTTTTCTTTCAGTAAATGATTTTTATCCAACCTTAATGAAATTATCTACATTTTATGTTTAATTTTTTTATGTAAATAATTTTTGTGTTTAATTTTCAAAATTTTTTATTGCATTAAAACTGTTTGATAAAGTATTTATAAGAAATATAACTATATAAAAAAAATTAACACTAAATTTTATGTGATGGTTATATTAAGAATCGACAAGTACTTATTATATTGGTTATTTAACAACCAACATTAAAAATTATATTTTTTATGTAATCTGAATCTATATTAGTTGTAAAATTAATATAAAAAACTAAAATAACCGTCATAAAATATCTTTATTAGACTAGTGAGTTTTGTAATTAATTTTTTATATTTCTTTAATTTTAAAGTGTCATAATTACAAATTCAAAATCATTTTTATTTTAGTTTAAAATCGAATTAACAATTTTATTTATGTTGAAAAAATAAATAAGTTATGTTATTTTTGTTGTTCTTGTGTTTTTTTGTCTTTCTTACAACAACAAAAACTTTATCACTCAATCTTCTTCGTCTTATCATCCTCTCACATTATTTTGTTCTCATTGTTCACCATTATCTTATTTGTGATAAACCTTCTTCTTTTTATTAATTTCTTTCTTTTCTCTTTTTCCCACACAGGCTTCCCCAACTTTCTATTCATCTCGTACAATGTCTTTACAACCACTTCTTTCTTTCCTG